GTATTTGTATACATATCATTCTTTGCCAGAGCTGGCATCTTTTCTTCTTACATATAGCTGCAGTTATTAATGCAATGGTCAATTGATTTGAATTAGTGCAAGTTCAAACTATAGATTTGATATAGTTCTCATAATACTGAACAAGCTATGTCAAAGAAATAAAATTTTAGTGTAGACGTAATCAAGATAAACTGTTATTTTCATTGAAATATTTCAAAGTATCAGTGGATGGAGATGTACAGTAATTTCAACTGAGCAATCAGTAAAAAAAACAAGGTGATCTATCTCCAATGCACATTTGCTCAACTAGCATGAATTTTCCTCAGTTCTTACGGGACAAACAAGAAACAGACTTTAGAAGAAAAAATGTGTCAAAAATGGATGTCCTAGGTTTTTCATGACTAATACTCCAGGAGAAAAAAATATTTGGAGACTAAGTAATATAATTATCACAATACAGCTACATATGGACATCTTTACTTTGGCCCCCAGGACCACCTACCAAAATTATAGAATCAAAGTCTTTAAATTATATCATTTTCTGAACATACATTTCTGATTTATGGTGTTTTGGCTGTCAAAATTCTACTTTCCAAGGAAATCATCTCAATTCCTGCAAACTGGAGAATGTAATTTCCACCTTCCCTGCTGCATATACTTAAACATGCACATCCCCCTTTGAGCGCTATTACAATAATATTGATATATCTTTTGTCTCTGGCATGCCAATCGAGCATGCAGATGGAGGACAGATAAAAGGATTTCTAAATGTGATCACACCCCTGGTGAAGAAATGCACCCAACATGCCTCCCTTCTCCAACCTGTGGGATCTGGATAAGGTACTTATCCATACATATGCTTTCCAGATTCTTAGAGCATGCTGTTTTACCAAATAATCAATTCCTGTGTCTACCGAAGAGTATTTCAACAAAGTCTTGCTTGAAGCACTAGTAACGCCTTCCTGACCATGGGGATGCTTCATATAACACATTTTGGTACTACAGGGCCTTCACCTTAAAGAATACATTGAAGTTGGTGATTGGAGGAAGGAAAATCTGAGCATTTCCAGGTATGCAATAGTGCACTTTCATGTTTATGTGCCTTAGTCTTCACCTGGAATTTTATGGCAAAGCACGCAGCCCTAGGAGCAGAGATTCCCCCATCATTTTTTCATATGCCCAGTGATGGATATATATGTAACACAGCTTCTACTGTATCTTTCCTCATATTTCAATCTCTTCCCATCTCCAGATTTTAGCCAGATATTTACATTTGTACTTGTACATTATATCAGAGTTCCCCAATGTTTCTGGCTTTGTGGACAGGCGAGGGGGGGAGGGGATGGTTCTATGAGAGCAGCCAGCAAGTGCGCATGCATGCATGCAGCTCCATTTGTGCAAGTGGCATCCACACATGCCTGCAGCTCAAGCAAATAGAGCATGCACACACGCGCTCGCCCACTGCGCATGTGAGGATGCATGCGCATAGTTGCGTGCTTGCCAGCCATTTCCACGGCCCAGTTGCAATCCCATCATGGCCTGCATCACATTATTTTATTTATCCTTTATTTCCTATATTATTTACATTATTCCTAAGTTCTTCAAATGCTTACATCAAATTTTCTTCTCCAAATTATATTTTGATTTATTTCTCTTCAATTTATTTTTAATACCAAAACAGGTGATAATTCTAGTCCAGGTTTTTTTAGAGGATGTGCTGAACTCTGGTTATTGAATAAGAAGTTTGGAAATTGCAGAGCAATTTGTGAGTAATGAACTATTTATTTGTCTTTTATAAGAAAAAGGTGGCTAATTCTGTGTAACTAGGACTACATTTACTTAATTGTCAAGCTGTAAGACTCATACATACAGGGAGCCATACATGAGCCAATGCTGCATGAAGGTTTTTCATTTTTGTGAAGCTTTGGTTTAAAGCACTGTGATTTAAGGCATTGATTTCTAAAATATTTCTCCATAGCTGGGAAAATTTGCTAAACCATTCAGGTATGTTGTGTCTATATCTGAAAAGGTATTATTGAAGTTTCCCCTTTATTATCTATTTTGGGCTTATTTGGTTTATTATTATATTTTGCCAATTGATTCAGATATTTTGGTTAGTTGCCTCATTTGTAAGTAATGAGATTCAGGTTCCAATATTCATAATGGATATGGGAGTCACTTAGTGCTGTTCCTTTTCCACAAATTATCTCTAAAAGTTTGAAATGTCACTTTCTTATAATTAGTTACCCAAATGACTTACATAATATTTCAGTTATGCTATTACAAAGCATAGTAGTCCTCAACGTATGACCATAATTCAGCTCAAATTTTTGGTTGCTAAGTGTGACATTTATTAAGTGAATTTTGCCCCATTTTACAACCTTTCTTGCCAGTTGTGATTCACAGTTGTGATCACTGCAGTTAAGTTAGTAACATGATTGTTAAGTGAATCTGGCTTCCTTACTGATTTTGCTTGTCAGAAAGTCGGAAAAGGTGATCACATAACCCCAGGACACGCAACTGTCATAACGCAGTTGCCAAGCATCTGAATTTTGATCATGTGACTAAGGGGATGCAGCAACAGTTGTAAGTATGAAAAATGGTCATAAATTACTTTTTTCAATGTAACTTTGAACGGTCACTAAACAAACTGTGGTACTACATGTCATTTGATTATTGTCGCTTCGTCCTATCAGTACTTCCTGAATGCTGTCAATATTGCTCCAGACAACATTCCTTGTAAAGAGAAAGTGAACTGTGACAATTGCATCAGAAGTGAATTACCTGAGAGTATTAAGTCAAGAATGGCTTTACTTGCTCAATTTGCTACTTCTTTAGATGCCCACCACTTTTAGCTTGTTCATATATTTAATGTTAATGCAAACACTTCCTCCCTCCAACTATGGGTTTCAGAATTTAAAATGTACAATACAGAACATATCTATTATAGCAGAACATATCTACTAGCTTGCCTTCTGGCATATTTTATATCAACTGACCAGATATTTTCATGGTTATTTTGACAATTAATTGTAGCCAGCTTTCAGAATGTATCAGAGAAAAATTTCTTTTTAAACTTAAATATATCAGTTTGTTCTTTAGAATCAGAAAAATGATTTTTACCACCATGTGATTTTTACCACATGGTAGGACACAAATATTTGTCTGCAGGTGTACCAACTTGAGATTATTGTTCAAAGTTCTGTGGTTCCTACACAGACTGCAAGATATGCTACTGAGCCTACCCGCAAGGCACTTTAGCCACACTATGCAGAAAAATAGGTCAGGTTACGTCTAGACATTTGACAAATTTGTGAACATTTGGTTATTCTTCTCTATAGCATTGATCATATTCACAATTCTTTCTTTCATTCTCCTTATTTTGTGAAAATCATTAACCTTTGCAGAGAGGCTAGGATAATTTACTGCTTACTTGGCTAACTTTTCATTACTATTGCCAAGTATTCCTCACATAATTCTCCAGTGTCAAGCGCTGCAGTTTTACTACAATAAACACATCCTAGTTAAAGAGTATTTAGATTCCCAAAGGCTTCCCCCGATTGCTTTGACTTCCAGAATAGCCAAAAAGATTTCTAAAGATGTGCATTAGGAAGCACTACTCATTACTATTCTTCATTCCATTTAACTTTCTTTTGCACAGACACACAAAACTCTTCTTTTAGCCAAATAAGCGATGGGGATACAGTAGCTCCATCTTTTTTAATTCAGGAAAATGCCAAGTTGTTTTTTTAATATTTAGAATGAAGTGAGTTCTGATCTTGATTTGCCATTTACCAGTTTCAGTATATAGCCTGTGACAAGATTGATTTGTGGAATAATTTTTATTTAGATAAATAATTTGGGCCTATTCAATTAATAAAAATAACTGAAGATGGCAAAGTTCTTAAATCTCAGGACTCACCCAGTAAAGAGACAGATTGGGCCTTACCAAAACCAGAATATTTATTTATTTATTTATGAGACTTATATACCGCTTTAAGTGCAAGCACTCTCTAAGCGGTGTACACCAGTAAGCAATGTATATATATATTTACATTGCCCCCAACAATCTGGGTCCTCATTTTACCTACCCCGGAAGGATATAGGTTACTATAAATAAAAGAATAGGTTACTATTTCTTGCACTAGTCACTTCCCCTCTCAAAATTCTTCTTTGCTTGCCAAGTGCATGAAAACAGGAGTCTCAAGCATTTAAGCACATGATTTAAAACAAGGATGGGCAACTAACTCCCTCTTGTGGTCCCAAGGACAATATTATAGATTTATATTAGAAATCAGCAAATGGCCCATTTTGGGTAATTCAAACTGCTTTATAGATAGTCTAAACATCAAATAAAACAGTATAATGCGGCATGCATGGGGAAGTAATCAGAATTCAGTTTCCAAAAGGTAACTTTGGAGAATTTTTTTTTCTAGAAAAAGGAAGGCGTTTCACCTACAATCTTTTCCTCTCCCCAAAAGAATATATCTTCCTAAGAAAAACAAGCAGCAACTCTGCAAAAGAAATCAAATCTTTCTTTTGGGTTTCTTTTAACTCTTAAAATTAAGCAGTTATTTCAGAGTTGCTATGTCCACCCTGTACTGTCATTGCCATAGTTAAATTTCAGGCTGGGATTTACATGAACAATGAAGAAAGGAAATTATTACTCCTCTGCTTTTGCATATACACTGTTCCAGATCCACATCGGAAACCTGCATGTGGACAAAAACATATCTGAAGCACTGCAAGTAGCATTCTGCCCAGAAAATGTGAACGATTGTTGCCATAACTTTCTCTACTGCTTTGAATTTTATGACCCCCCAAAGGGCTCTTGCCTTCTCTTTCTTTCATGCTTTATTTACTCAAAAGTTCTTTTTTTTTTTTTTACAAACATTGAAAAAAAAAGCATTTCAAGTATTTCATGACACTTAAAAAAGCTTCTTGCTAATTGAACTGGCCAGAACTCCTTCATGAATTCCTTCTTAAAATATCTTTTTCTTCTGGAATGGTATACTGACCATTCTAATTGGAATTAAAGATTGATGGAATCTATATTATTCTCTTCCTCTCACCTCACCATTTGTAAAAAAAAATACTTTATTTTATTTAGATCAGGATAATACAAGAAAAAAAGTTGAGACATATTTCTGAGGCATATGCACTGCACCTTTTTTCTGAGCAAATTAACAATTTTTAACCTGAAATTGATTAAATCAGATTTTTTTAACATAAGATGAAATTCATTTGAGACAGGTCATTTTCAAGAACATGAATGCAATCTATAATACAATTTGACACACATCTATCCACAAATAAGGTAATATACAATCCAATAGTTGCTCTCAGATGCTCTCTGAGTGGCACTGATTTTACCTAGTTAGGTAATTAAATATTTACAAACAATCAAGCTTACAGAACACCAAGAATTCCACAGTTCAAATCTGAATTACGGATATTATCTTCCATTAGAATATATCTTTCTTGAAAGCCGAATGTTCAGTTGCACATACTTTACACTGGAAAAACAACGGCTTTTAATAATTAGAAATTTTCTGTTTGGAAATTCAGTTCCAGAAGCATAACCTTTAAAAAGTCAATGTTTATGTGTTATAAACCCCCCATTTGGTGTTACAAACCAAACCAAAACTGAAGACACAAAAATGGAGAAATTTGTTAACAAGGGTCCAACGCGAAGAATTATTTAATGTAGAAATTTCACATTAACAGATAGGGCAACATTAAAAAAAGTATTATTTACAATATTGCATTGCATTGGTAAGTGAAAAGTTCTCCATAGCACAGATGAAGTTTAGAATAAAATGTAACAGTTCTTGGAGGCAATTATTCTAGCTATGTTCTAGAATTGCCCATTCTAAGATTAAAGATCTGAATTACAAATGAGCTTAATATTTTAAGCATTTAGGCAATGCTTTTTCGGGCAGTGTCAAACAGTGAATTCCTTGCATGTGACAGAGCAGTTCACATATCACTAATAAACTGCACATTCACTTTCTCCTCCTGCACAGCACGCTTAGTTATTTCATGGCTTGTACAGGACTACACTTTACAGTTATATCTGAACTAATGAGGTATAGTTTGCATTTTTCCCTCCAAGAGTTTGCAATTCTGATATGGAGGAGAAGATACCAACTAGACTTTGCCAGTCTGAATAGCAAATAATTAAAAAAAAATGGTTTGCCACAATGTAATCACTCATTTGCAAAGAGCGCATAAGAAAGATTATAGTTAAGTATAAGAATACAAATACCAAATAATGGCTTGGTATTACATAAAATATGAGAGTGATTTGTCCATGGTGCACAAGAAAACTTTGCTTTCAAGATTTGGACGGATTTTTTGATATCTTTTTGTCAGATTCTTCTCAGTGTAGTAAAACATGACCAAGTTAAGGTAAGAATGAGAACTTAAAGAGAGTTCCTCTCTAATGTTTCAGTTGTTTTTGCGTAATTTCAGCCTTAACTATGAACTCACAATGTTAGCAACCATTTTATTGTTTGGCTCAAATTACTGACAAGTAGATTTGTGGGTATTGTATTTTTAGCCTGCTAGAGAAAACCTGGTATATATCAGATTTAGAAGCCTACCCCTTTAAAAGAGAAAATATCAGTCCTTATATTTAAGGAACCCAACTAGACACCCAATCCTAAAAATCAAACCAGACTTTGTTGCATACCGCTTCACTTTTTGGGAAAAAATAACTTACTGAAATTTAAAAACAAAATAAAACCTCAGCATGAAACAAAAGACAACACATATGCTTTTCTTTGGGGGGGGGGGGGTAATGAAAGTCATGTTACAAAGCTTTCTGACAGCAATGTGTTTTCTGGTAAGATGGCAAAAGTGTTCATCTAGCTTAGTGCTGATTCCTGATTCTTCAAGAGCAGGGAGAAACTTAGCAGTTTCAAGCAGCTGCAATATTGCTGTAGTCTTTTATATATTTTTTTTACTCAAACAGCAGCACTGCTGTATCAGTGCATCCTCCTCCCACATGTGTTTGTCTGTTATTGACAAAAGAAAAAGGAAACATTTCTTTTAGTAATTTGACAGCCTCCCCGCCTTCCCAGTGAGCAAGTCAGCTGCCTTCCACATTAACAAGCTCTTCTGCCTTTTAGTATTCTTCCAGTAGATTGTTAGTCATTAAACTGTCAGCTCCTTGGCCCTGCCTGAAAAATGTGAGTCAGAGCCTGGATTGCAAACAATTGAGATATAATGGTGGTGCTGGGGAGCTTCATCCAAAATGTTTTCTCAGCACTGAGGAGAAAATAAGAATGGCACTCTCGGGACAAGTACATTTAGCAATAGAGTCACTAGTCCTGTGAAAGGAGAAAGATATAACTGATTCAGAACACTGAGTAGAATTCAAATCAAGAGACCTGTTATATTTTGTTAGTGAGGCACTTTCTGGAGATTGTGCACAGCACAATTTCTCCACATTTTTGTGGAGAAGATAGCTCAGGGATTGAAAAATTGGTGTGAGAGTGGCCCCAGCAACCTGTGGGAGATAGTTAAATGTAAGACTCCTTTTCCAATTCTGGTCTTCCAGGATTGGAAGAGGAGTATTACATTTAACTATCTCCCACAGAATTGCCATTTCCAAAGGTCACAAGAGGAACGTAGCTGCAAATAAGAATTAACTATGGTGGATGCTAATGGGAACTGCCAGATTATTAAAAAAAACCACAGCCCTGCTAAAAACAAGCTTCACCAGTAAACATGAGCATAGGTGGAGGATGCAAACCAAGTCTCCAACAGTTGTCAAAATAGTGAACAGTTGGTAACAACAATAATACTACTACGTAACAACAATAAAGAGAGGCAACACTACAAATATCATCCAGTGCATCAACATATGGACAGACAGAAATGTCCTTATGAAAGAGAAAGACTTGTTATTCTGGAAGGCACATAGCTGTAAGCTCCAGCAAGTGAAGTTAGAGGCACCTAGGAGTCCTGACACTTAGCTCACAGCTTGGAGTGAACAGGTATTATTCAAAGGCTTGCAATTTTCTTTGGGCATATACACCATCAGCTCAACTTCAATACTCTTGAAGTTCCATGAAATCAAGTATTTTTAGAGGCATCCTAAATCAGAAGAAAAAAAAATTAACAGATCTGTCCCATGCTTCAAAGGACCACAGACACACATAATAAAAACACCCTTATGAGTTAGCTTTTACTTCCTATTGTAAATACACCTGGGGCACTAATGCATATACATTTTTTAGTTGTATGGGACAAGTTCACATGCAATTACAGGAGATCAATCTATCCAAGATACTTATTATAAATATGAGTGTGCATACAACTCCTTTACATATTAAAACTCTCACCTCTTTCCTATGTTCAAGAGATTTCAGCTTAGCTCGTATCATGTTAATTGCTGGAGAAGAAGCAGGTATCTGCAATTAAACAAGATGCAAACTGAGACTCTTCGAACTTCACTATCACCTCTAAAACTAAAACAGTTTTAAAGTCTCCTCAATTATCCTGACCTTAATTTAAATTAACTTATTTAATCAATTTATTAGTTCCCTTGGTTGCAAAGCAGTTCTTTGCATTGATTTAGCTGTTGCATTGCTTTACACAACAAATCATGATCATATCAATCCAATAAGCTGGGAAATTTTGTCCTCTCAGGAAGTCCAATGAAGTTTACTCTAGCATCCCCCAAACCCCAAACTTGCGCCTTAAGGTACATTAAACCATAGCTGAAAACTTCGGTATTGGCCAATAACTCTAGGAGTTGACCAAGGCTGTTTTATTGTGAGGAAAATACCTAATTCCAAATATATTAATAAAATAATATAAAAGTTTAAAATCTAACAATTTAGGAATGGGGAAAACACTCTTAACTACAAGAGGAGAAAAAAAAAAGAATTCAGGAGGGCAGAGCAGAAGAGGGCAGATGAATTTAATGTTCATCCATTAAATGATGAGCTACATAATTAAGGAACAGCTGTATAATGTTGGTAAGACACCAGATATATTACTAGGAGGACTGATATGCTGGTGAAATGCCTCAAATACAAAGCAATTGGACAATTCCCATTGGAGGCACCATAGTTGAAGCATTATTATTATCTCTTTAATCCATAGATATAACATCACATCTGATGTACAAAAATTCCCTTAAAATTGCTCTATGGTCAACTAAAGAACTTGGAAATTCTTGTACCATAATTCATGTTATTCAGTTTAAAACTACAAATACGCCACTTTTTGTTATTGTTTGATGGAATTCGGTGGATTGCATTTATTTTTCCCACTATGGCACAGCGTAAAACTGTTTCAGCTAGTCTTAGGATCAGACATTTCAAGACAGCTTGATGTTAACTGGGCTCAATTACTGTTTTTCTTCTGATGAGCCTCTCAATGTACAATAGGAGTTAGAAGTTGTTGCTTTTTGTCTGAGCCCATGGGCTGTCAAGGAAAAATTGATTGAATTCTCAGACTAGGATATTCAAGATCTCAAGCACATTCCAACAGAGCTGCTTGGGCAATATCAGAACATAGGTGATTTTTTATTTGTACTATTAGACTTATCCATTTGGAGCACTGCAATATTATACATATCTTCCTTTTTGAAATGTGCTTGCAACTTATCCTCACTTAACAACTATCTTGTTTAGCAAAGTTACAAAACACTGAAAAAAATAACTTTATGATTGATTCTCACACTTACAACCATTGTAAGATTGGGGTTTTTCACAGCCAGCTTACAACAAGCAGAGTTAATGGCAGGAAAATTGCAAATAGTGCTCATGTGATGTCTCACTTAATGACTACAGATGATTTATTTAACTACTATAGTGCAAGTGAGGCCATAAGTATGCTGTGCTCATGTGAAGTCACACTGTGTCACATAGCAATGGAATTGCCAATCCCAGTTATGGTCGTTAAATGAGGGCTACTGATATTCTTTCCTTTCCTTTCTGCTACATTTTCTCCTCCAGTATTGGCTGAGTACAATTTGGATATGGAAGCTATTTTATGGGTGCACTTCCAGCCCCTGTATAACTAAAGTACAGGATTAGTTGGTGTATAATTTATTTATGCCAATAAGACTTCTAAAAAATAGTACTCATTCTAGACTCTCATTCTCAGGATAAATTAAGGAAACAGAATAATGTAGATACACAAGATAGGAGATGTTAGTAAGATCATATGCCATACACAGAAATCCTCATCTAGCAACTGCGTCATTTAGCAGCCATTCAGTTACAACTGGGATGAAAAAGTAACTTGGTAACTAATCATCACATTTATGACTTTTACAGATTTGTAAAACAAAGAAAAGCTGACGCACGTTCATGAGCACAGTTGCTGTTTTGCTTAGTGACTGAGTTGTCAATCTCAATTGTGGTTACTAAATGAGGACTTCCTATACACAGTTCTTTTAAACAAATTTCCTCTTGCCAAATAGATTCCATGGGTTAATATAGGAGATCCTTCTTCCAGCAAACCTTACCATGCTGATATTCTCCTTGCTGCCATGCTTTGAATCCTGAGTGCCTGCAGGTTCTGTAACAATATCGTTTTTCTTTTTGTCTAAAATCACTTGACTTCCCAGCACTTTACGCTGCATTTGGAAAAGAAAATTATTTTGAATTGTGATAGGGAGCAGGAAAGTAATGGAACAATATTTATTCATGGAAATTTCCAGCATAATGGGAGGTAAGTTTCTCTGGGTAAAACTTCAGTGAGTTTTTCCCTATATTTTCTGCAGAGATGTTTTGACTCTGGATCCCACATTTGGTCAAGCAATAGGATTCCTTTGTGCAAGAAGATGAAAGGTCTTATACTGCCTCTCTACACCACGGAAAATTTATTAAAATAAAGTCCTATTACTTCTGATGAAGAAGTGGAAGACACGGGAAAAGAAGACATAATAAAATGAGATGGAAGAAAATATTTTCAACTTTCTTAAGTGCCCTTAATGCAGCAGCATCTAAGGCAGGCGTGTCCAAGCTGTGCCCCACAAGCTGTGCATGCAATCTTGGATAGCTAGTAACGTAGCCCCCCAAATTTGTAAACTTTTAAAGGAAGTTTGTTCTTTATATACATTGACTGGATTATATATTATATGCAGCCCAAGATAATTCCTCTTCGCTCAATATGGGCCAAGAAAGCTCCATAATGTTGGACACCCATTATCTAAGGCAGCGGCTCCCGACCTTTTGTATACCCCGCGCCCCTAGAACACTTCTGATATAGTCTCACACCCCTTACAAAAGTTTGAAACAATGGCAACGAATTATGCAAACACACTACAGTTTTGAAATCCCAAGTTTTCACACTCCCTGGAATATCGTCTTGCACTCCTGGTTGGGAACCCCTGATCTAAGGTAACCAAGACACATCTCATGCAATGCCTTCCTTTACATCAGAACATTTTGGTGACAGTAGAATGGATTTTACCTTGATTAGGCCGCTGAAGGAACGAGTTCGGGCACGTTTCTGAATCTGTGTGGATATAGCTGTCTGAGGAGTAAGGGCTTCAGGATGCTTCTGAAACTAGAAGAACAAAGCCTAATAGCACAGTTCATTCCACGATGATGTCCATGCCAAAGCCCAGTTCTACTTTCCACTCATGCCTTTTTGCCCCAAAATCTTTTACAAAGGTTCCCATGCTTTAATCTCTCTCATGGAGACAGAGATATCTAAAGATTGCTTTTTCCCACACATTACCTTGAGCCTGAAATATTCCTTCTGAAGTCTGCTGCCAAGGGGACTAAGATAAATAACTGCCAGATAGCTTTCTGCATGGATGTAAAGTTGCTGTAAAATGCCTTTCTTAGGAAACTCATCCTATAGGATCAATCTGATACAGTATTAGATGCCTTCAGGTCTTTTAATAAAGCTGTGATCTTTGTTATTTGGAACCACCATACAATATAGCCTATACCAGGGGTAGGCAACTTTGGCTCTTTTATGACCCGTGGACTTCAACTCCCAGAATTCCTGAGCCAGCCATGCTGACTCAGGAATTCTGGGAGTTGAAGTCCACGGGTCATAAAAGAGCCAAGGTTACCTACCCCTGGCCTATACCTATATTATTGTAAAACTGTTTTTATGGCACTCTCTCTTTCCTGGGAGCAGTCTGTTGCATTTGCTCTTTCATGACATGGTGCGTTACCATTATTTTTATTTTGTGAGATGAGCCATAGTCTAAATACCAATATCAAAAATAATCATACCTGCTGAATAAGCTTCTTTTTCTTGGCGGAGTCTGGCATATTATGAACATGGCAGAAAAGCTCTTTCAGTGCTTCTTCTGTATGGTGCTGTGTGTCTTCCAAGTGGGCAGAAGGATCTAAGAGCCCTCGCTTCTTGAATTTCAGAAGCTGAAAGTCTTTGAAATTCTGGGGCATTGGCAAATCCAGGTCATCCTTTGGAAATTCAAGCAGGCCATTAGGCTGTTGGCTCTAACTAGCTTGATTCTATAAAGCTGGTTAATATTCCAGTGAAAATCTTCCATGAGAATATTTCCAATTCGAACCTTAGATTCAGTAATAGAACAATATCTGCCTGTCCCGTCTGGGGCCTGATCCTCCTTTCTCCTCTGTTCAAATATTGTGCATTGTAACCAAATTCTGTAAAATGGACTCATTTGGTTGATAGTTGAATAAAAAGTTGTGCAATTTTCCAGAACCTTTTTCCCAGCTCATGAATGGGGAATATATTTGTTATTCCAAAATCTCCAGAATGGTTTTCAGCATATGGCCATCCCTCACTCACCCCGTAACTCCAGCACACCTATCATAGAGCTGCCATTGTTTATTTAGGCCAAGGTCTGAAATCCAAATATATTTATTAGATTTATATTTTGTCTTTATTTTGTACAACTCCAGGCACTGTACATAATGCTTCCTCCTCCTATTTTCTCACAATGATTTACGAGGTTGGTTGCGCTGAGGACTTATGACTGGCCCAAAATCATCCAGCCGGCCTCCATGGCTGGATAATACAATACATGCTATCCTGGTTTCTAGTGAAGCACCTTAATCATTACACCAAATTGGCTCAAATCCAGAAAGGTTGTCTAGGCTGTCATATATACATACATCAGTAGGTGGCTGATAGCTGTCATGTGTATATTGGATCTCTCATTTTTAATCTAGCACCAGACAGCTTTGGGATTAAAAAAAGATCACCCATCATATCATATTTTGTAGGAGTATACAGATAGTTCTCAACTTACAACCACAATTGAGCCCAACGTTTCTGTTAAGTGAGTTTTGCCCCATTTTTCGACTTTTCTTGCTTCACTTGTGTTTTTTTTTTTGTAAAAAATTTTTATTTTCCATTTTGCAATACATTACATTCCTAAAAATACTTCAGATAAAAAATAAAATAAATTGATACACACAACTTTCAGTATTGCTCACCCATTTCCCCCCAAACCGCATCCACCCTCTAACCTACTTCCCTCTTTCCCTCTTCTTCCTCACTCTCCCCCTCTCCCCCTTCTCCTCAACCTTCCTACTTGCTTCTCCCCTTCTTCCTATCTTCTCGCTCCGGATGCGGTCCAGGGGAAATGCCCGTTGCTTCACTTGTTAAGTGAATGACTGCAATTGATAAGTTAATAACTCAGTTGTTAAGTGAATCTGGGTTCCCCTAGACTTTCCTTGTCAGAAGGTCACAAAAAGTGATCACGTGATCTTGGGACACAGTAACAGTCATAAATATGAACCAGCTGCCAAGCATCTGAATTTAGATCACATGATCATGGGGATGCTGCAAAGGTTGTAACTGTGAAAAACGGTCACAAGTCACTTTTTTTAGTGCTGTTGTACCTTTGAACAGTCACTAGATCAGTGGTTCTCAACCTGTGGGTCGGGACCCCATTTGGGGTCGAATGACCATTTCACGGGGGTCACCAAACCATGCTGTCCGCCATTTTTTTCCCTTTTCCCTAGCTGTTCTACTCCCTCTTATTGGTGGCCACACCCACTTGGGGGTCACCACAACATGGGGAACTGTATTATGGGGTCATGGCATTAGAAAGGTTGAGAATCACTGCACTAGATGAACTGTTGTAAGTTGAGGAGTACCTGTGTAATGAGCTAAATGCTAAATCTAAAATTTAATTCTGCCATTTCCGTTTTCTCCAAACATGGATCTCCACAAGACTCCATTCTCAGTATTTCGTGTTATCATGAAGAAGTCTGTGATCAAAGTTCTATTCTTCCTTCCATAAAAGATGACAACTACGTACCTTTGAGGCATGAGTTCTGGAATCCAAGTAATGTAGCCTGGCATATTCCCGGATATATACTGGAGCCTTACAGTGAAAATGAAAAAAAAAAAGACAGGCAAAGATGAATCAAAATGTTCTTGATATTCAAAGAGACACATAGGAACTGACTAGAGATTTCCAAGGATCCTGCTGATTATCTTGCTCCTTGAAAGAGATATCAGAGATGGCTCCAATTAGTTCTTCACAAAGAGCAGTTTCGGTTTGACATAATTCCAATATGATCAAGAAAGGGATTCTGTGGCCTGTAAGTCACACACAACGCATGAGCCTTTGGATCTCATCTCCAACCTTTTCTCCTTCACTTTATTTCCCCTAGTATAGCAACTGGGCTTAGAAAAAAGTGACTTTTCTTCCTACTTACAAATCAGAACTTAATTTTTCATAACCAGAAATGTTATGTGGGGTTACCAATTTTAAGGAATGGTTGGCAGTTACAATTAATATTTTCTTCATCCTTCACACTGCCATATCAGCCTGCTGCCATTGGTTTTAGAAGTAAATGGAGGGTTTTTTTTTCTCAAAATAAAACTTCTGCAAAGTGAAGGGGAAAATGAGAAATGAAGGTGATTTTAATGACTGTATGTGGACAATTGCACACAAAAAGTGACAATTTTCATTTTCCCCTCATAAAGCAATACTTTCTACCCATAAAGTAGGGATGCTAACATCCAATTCCTTTGCAGCAAATATAACTTACAGATAAATCTGGAAAATGTTGCCCATCCTTACTTCATGGATAGAAAACTAATATTTTTAATTACATTTCTATTGAAAACTTTACAAAGAACATTAAAACTAACACAAACTATATGGGGATCAGAACTTCTGTTGCTAGTGATCTAATCATTAGCCGAGTCGTGCCTGATTTTATGATTTTTTTTGCCATAGTCATTAAATGAAACATGCATTTGTTAACTGGATTGGACTTTCCCATTGATTTTGCTTGTTGGAAGTCCCTTGAGAAGATCATAAATAGCAATTATGTGGCCTCAGGATGCCACAGCCATTGTAAATATATGCTGATTGCCAAGCACATGAATTGTGGGCACGCTGCAATAGTTATTAAGTGCAAGGATTGGTTGTAAGTCACTTTCAACACTATTGTAACTTCAAATGGTCTTAAATGGTTGTTAAGTCAAGGACTATCTGTAATAAAGTGTAAACATAAGAAAGAAAGAAAGAAAGAAAGAAAGAAAGAAAGAAAGAAAGAAAGAAAGAAAGAAAGAAAGAAAGAAAGAAAGAGGAAGGAAGGAAGGAAGGAAGGAAGGAAGGAAGGAAGGAAGGAAGGAAGGAAGGAAGGAAGGAAGGAAGGAAGGAAAGATGGCAAAAAGTGCAGGAAAAAAGAACAGAAAGAAATAGAAAAAAGTTTCTAATCCTTTTTGTAGCAATCCTTTTTACAGCAAACTTTATTCTATTCAGTTTCTTTTAATCATCAAAACCTCAAATCATAAATGCATTTTTCATTTTATGCAAAAAATCTATAAGGGTTTCCAGTCAGCCATAAATGTCCATGCCAAAGCCCAGAATCCATTTTTTTCTAATCAAAAGCTTAATTTAACTATCACTTCAAGTTCCATTGTCTTCACTGCTATTCCTCTCTGGTGGCTAGTGTCAAGCCTTTCCACTTTTAAGCATATAATATTAAAAGGCCCATTTCTCAAAGAGTTCAGATCTGTGGTGTACTACCGTATGTATTGTATACAGCCAGATGCTGTTTAATAAATAAGTTTCCTAGGAAACTTTAGCCTAACTAAAGACATCATATATCATCCCCCCCCCCAAAACAGAAAAGTCTTTAAAGGCCTAATAACCAAATCAATAACTGATAAGAAAGAGGCATAACAGGACTGCTTAGTAAATACAGAGTTTAGGTCCATCAAAAACCCTTAACAACAATGAATATTACCTACTGTATATCCTGCATTCACGTGTAGAAAATATTTTTTTAAATTTCCACATGTGAAAGATAATTTTGTAAAAATATATAAATGCTAGAGAGCTCAGCAACAGAAACAAGTAACACCTCCAAAGCAGCACCTCCAAAAAAGCAGAGTATCTCACAGTTTGTTCATAGCCACACTTTCGCCCAATGTGTAATGCCCTTGGACAATTAGGCAACAGAGTTGGAGATTAGTTCCTGCCTCTATGTGATCTTACTTTGAAGAGTTTTTGTGAGTGCTTGATCATGAAAGCCATTCCATTATTCAGTTTGTTAATGTTTTCCTGCAGATCGCTGGCAGTCACCTAACAACAGATGAAGAATGAGAACAGGTTAAGTGAGTTGCAAAATCATAGACAGAGGAAATCTTATTTTAATAGCGAATTCCAGCAGTCAAACTATTGGGCAAATCCATCCTTCCTAGCCTGACCATCTCCCCCACGCTCCCCCTTTCACTTTTATATGAAACAAAATACTTACATTTCGGGGCCACAAAATATGAGGTGAAAACATAAGAGCAAGGTTATGTGCTGACATCTTGTTCCTATCCTGTTTCTTGGCTGTTTGATAGAGCAGATCCAATAGCAATTTGAGCAGATTGCGATTGGCAGCTGGTAAGATCAAGAAGAGCAATTGCAGTGCTTCAATTTGACGCTCTTTATCTGGAATAATGGTCTTGTTGCCCTTGTCATCAAACTGCATCAGGTCTATAATCCAGGAATCAGGAAAATATCTGTTAAGCATCGCTGGCTAAAAGAAATCTCAGCCTCAGGAATTCTATCCAGTTCTTAAAACTATTTATTTTCAATTTCTGATTACTCTTTTAAAAATCCCCAAAACATATTTAAATATCCTTGCCATTGGTTTGAACTGGGAAATATCAGGGTCTCCAAACTTTTTAAAGCACCAGATTAGCATATGGTGTTGTGGTTAGAAAACCACAATCATATTGCAGAGTAGTAGTTTGGCTCACCAAAGTACCAGCCCTGTTATAGGATGCTTGCACGCTTCCCAAGGTGTGCCCCAGGAGGCTTCGCACCAGAGTGAAAGACAAGCGGTTCTTCCTGCTGTGTTACTGATTGCCCTTTTCCTTCCTGGAGCTGCCCCGCAGACGTGTGCTGCAACCAGAAAGGTTCCCAGCCATCAGGAATCTGCCTGCCTGCACAGAGCACCAGCTTGTCTCCCCACCAAAGTGATATCTATCTATCTATCTGTCTATCTGTCTGTCTATCTATCTATCTATCTATCTATCTATCTATCTATCTATCTATCTCTATATCTATCTGCATAGAACATGCTTTCAAACTGTTAGATGGACAGAAGCTGAGGCGAGTGACAGGAGCTCACCCTGCCATGCAGTGCTTGGGCTCGAACCGCTGGAGTTGAGACCATTTCCAGCGTCATTAAGCCACCGAGCCACTGCACCTCCAACCACCAGATGAATTAGAAAAATAGATATTTTGAAAGATGGATCTCTTTCCAGGGTGCCTGCAGGAAAAAATACATACTTGATAAAATTGTCTAGTTAATGTTGATTACCTGAAATTTTAAGGTGTGCATGGAAATGTTTGTGAGTCAGCAAAGGCTCTGGTAATTCTCCCAGGAACATCTTCAACAAAGTGGCCACATCATTGGAATGAAACTCGCCTGAATCCAGGTCAATTTCTGTTCCGCTATTCAAAGCTTCTTTCAGGTTCTGTTGCCTGGTACTGTTTCCTGGCACTCGGAACAAGCCTTCTGTCCGCAGATCTGCACCATGATGGGAGGGGTATTAAACATATGCCAAATACAGTAACTGCTACTATTCTTAATTTTGAATCTAGATCTTGATCTAGATCTAGTGATTGTCTGATTTTTTTTGCAGTCCAAGATATGATGGCCCTATTTACATCTTTCTTCTTCTTTTTAAATCTCTTCAGAGCCCTAATAGAAGAGTCAATGAATTGCACAAAAGCAAATAGAAGTAATCTGGTTATCTTTTGGGGGTTCAAGATTACCAAGAACAATAGAAACTATGGAATGCAATGAAGGGATTTTTTTAAAAGTCTAATTTAATGACTAATGCACTCTTTCTTGAGTGCAAACATTTGGGTGGAGTTCACTTGAATCCTATTATTCCAATGGCACTTGAAAGAAGCAGTCCTGAAAATTATGAAAAGCTGTTTTTAAATATTTACTCCCTCCAACTTGTTATTAGCTAATGCAGAATTATAGTTTTATTCATTTACCTTTAATATACTTTTGTCATATCTCATTTATAAACATTTTTGTGGCTGAGCCCATACGTTCTCATGTTATATCACAGAATGATTATTTAAATTTATTTTCAGATTGTGTTCTTTTTTAGTTATGACTATTAGTTTGTCAGAACAAAAGAAACATAAAATAGAAACTATTTTCAGAAGGAGAGATGAAAATGTTCAGATCTAGAAGCATATGTAGAAAGCTTTTATGAATCAAATTTGTGCCTCAGATTATTCCACAATTGCTAACTTAAGAAAGATAGAAAGACCTCCAAAATTACTTACTTTTATGCAAATACTCAATGAGTTGAGATATTTGAGCAATGCCTTCTTCAGTCAATGGTGTTCCAAATACCACTCCTTTCTCTATAAATTAAAAAAAGCAACAAATTATATGATCAAAGAGAATATTAACTGTTTTATTGAAACTCTGATTGATTTCTTCACTATGCCAAAACGTCAGAAGTAAAACTTGGGCCAGAATATATGTTCATTCAGTATCCACTTTCAAAAAATAAATAAAACCTTACTCTTATTATTAGTGCAAAAGGCATCAGATTGGAAAGAGATACTGTTTGTTTTCTATAAAGGAAATTGTGTCACAAAATAGATACTTTTTATCTATATTTATGCCTGGGACTTGTTCACATTGTAGTATTCATATTGTGTACTTTATTAAGGAATATCAGCAAGATATTTTTTTCTAATTAAGATAAACATCTATCTAATCTAACATTCAACTTCTAATATTTGGTATTTCTGGGTACTGATATACAGAACATTAGTTCATAGCATCTGGGATTCATAGAAATATTGCATCTGTATACGGGAGATGCTTTCCAGTACTAGATCATCTTTCAATATTTTAACTAATTGAAATTGCACTGTACTTGGAAAATGCTATCTTGCTTACTTTGGGGCAGGTCTTGATTCTTAGTCATCTGCTAAAGGCATCATAGCTAGGAATAATACTTTGGTTACCCAGATGTGAATTTTAATCTGTATCATTTTCACCACCCCCACCACTCCAATACTTCCTCTAGGTTATTTGAAATGGTCCACAAAGTTTATTACCCCAAAAGCTTCTGCATGTTCAGTGACAAGAAAATAACTTTGTACTGCCATCTTCCAATCTACAGAAACGTCTGATGATTTCACAGACATATGCAATTTCCTTGGCATCACTATGGAACGGTTCTCACTCCACTTTTTCGGATGTTTTTCAACTTCCTAGCTGGCTTTCATCTTCTTCTGATCCTCTGAGTACTGACTCAGTCTTAACTACTTAGCTTGGATTCTAGACAAGGTTGGGCAGGTGCTGCCACCTGCTGAAACTACATACAGTATACATATACCCCACTTGAGTTCAACTCCTGATAAAAATGTTTTTTGAGATAAACATAGCAATAACAAGCTCTTTAATCAGAAAACTTCTTCTTTCAATCACTTCTGGAACAATAAAAGGGAAGGAACAAATCTTATTTCTCAGGGAAATCTATTCTACAAGACCAAAACGACAACAAACAAACTGCAGTTCCAGGCCTCCATTCCCCTTTTCTTCAAGAAAGTGGAGCATGATCAAAGCTTATCCAAGCCAGAACGTATCAGGCAGGCTGATAAAAATAGCAGAAAGTAGTCCTGTAGGTACTTATAAAGCACTTTATGGCTTGGTGTCCATCAAAATCAGTACTCTGAATTAGAGCCCAAAACCTGTCCGTAACCAGTGGTTGGTAAGAAACACAGGGATAATATAATACTGGTAAAATTGCCAGTAAGTAGGCTATTGCATTTTATACCACTTACTAGATGGTCTTTAATAGCTTTAATAGTGAAGTAGTTTAGTCCAAGAAATGACTATTGCAATGTAAAACTAAACCAAGATTTTTCTAGTTAGTATTTGTAATATTGTGACTACTTAAACATCACTTAAGCAATCTAAAATGTCAATTCTTAAATGTGTCTTTGTCATTATACTATGGGAGAGAAAAGAATGGAACTTCTAATTACACTGAGAGAGGATACTGTTGCATATTTGAATTCAGTTTGGAATGAAGTCTAATTAGATTACAATGTGATTCCATAAACATAGCAAAATATAAGACAGGATAAGAATTCAGGAAAAGAATGCAGAACTCATTTTCTAGACCAGCGGTTCTCAACCTACGGGTCGCGACCCCATTTGGGGTCGATCGACCATTTTACGGGGGTCGCCAAACAATGCGATCCGCCATTTCCCCCCCTCAGGGGCCCCCGCCGCGCATGTGGCCGCCGCCGTGCATGCGTGCCGCGCATGGGGCCGCGCATGGGCGCTGCGCATGGGGGCGGCGCCGCGCATGGGGCGGCACCACGCATGCGCAGCACGTTCATGTGACGGGGGTCGCCGTCACACAAACGTTGAGAAACGCTGTTCTAGACTGACAGAAACATTTCTTTACTATACCAAAAAGAAGATATAAGAAACAGTATAAGAAGTTAGTAATTAGTGGTCAGCTCCAAAGACATAGAATGCTACCTTGCCAAAAATGTTTTACAACTTCACTCTGAGATCTGGACATTTTTCCAAACCTAGTAACCCAAGAAACATCCAAGATTCTTAAGCCGCGTGATGGGATAGCAGGTAGAATGAATATGCCTACCTATAACAGAAAGTATTAGATAGCTGTTGGATGTAATTTTGTCCATCTAGTCTAATATTATCTTCTTTGAACTTTTATATACTTAAAAGAGCTGTTGTATCACTGAACTAGAGTTCTCCTGTTCTAAAAACATAAGGAACAGGATGACTTTACTCCTAGAAACACCTTCAATACTGACTTATTTTTTTCCCCAATTGTGTCATCTGTTATTAAAAAGAAACATTACTATTCTTTAATTTCCATAGGGAAAACTAAGGGTTGATTGTAATAGATATATTTGTAATGCTGCTCTTCTAATTTTTACTTTGGAAGTTTGTTAATAAAGTTATGGGTTTTACTGTAACAGAAGAGCCAGTTTTAGGGACTCATTTAAATAAGGTCAGAGTATGAATGTATGAATCTTTGGGGAGATATTATTTTATCAATTTCTTTGAGCGCGGTAGCCCACAAGGTTAGGCCACTGGGCTGATGATCAACTTGTGTTCAAGACCCAGTTGCTGCCATGGGATGGGGTGAGCTCCAGTCACACATTCCAGCTCTTGCCAACCCAGCAGTTCGAAGGTAAGAAACTGCAGGTAGATAAAGGGGTATCACTTTGGTGGGCAATTTAACCAGGATGTGGAAGGATCCCCCATCTGGCGTCCCCCGGACAACGGTGAAGTCACCATTCAATCCTTCAACCCGGAAGCAATTTGGCGCTCCTGACTCGATTGTAATAATAATAATATCAATTTCTTTGGAGACCCTGTCAGTTATAAGGGTCCAAGATATCACTTTATCATTGAAAGCCAACAGAAAGCACTAGCAAACACATCATGCTTACCTTTGCGTTTAAGAGACATCAAGGACCGGAAAAAACCTGAGGAAATGCTAGGCCCACCAGGCAACTGGGGCTCTTCCTCACCCATCAGTTGAGCAAGTTCTGCTCCAGGCAAGTCAATCAATCGGGTAATGTTGCTGACCACAAGTTCTGTGAATGCCTCAGGTTTCTCATGTCTCAGCTTCTCCACAAAGAAGTCTGGATTAAAGATGATCTGATGCCGCTGAAAGGAAGACTCATTGCAGATAACAAAACTGCAAATGGCATCACTGTGGAAAACAGTCATGCATTACTTCATGAGAGACATGCATATACAATATAGGAATAATCTTTAGCCATGCTGGTAGTTAAGGTAAAATGGGTTTAAATTGTAGAGATAATGTTTTTACATAATCTTTTAAGGATTCCATTTTACCCATTTCTGCAATATCGCAACATATCAGAATACTGATCATGCTGGCTGCATAAGAGAGAAACTACAGAACAGTAATTTGCATGTTACACTATCCCAAAGAAATACACATTCTCCTGTCAAGTGAAACAACAAACTGTATAATTGACCGACTTTGGGCAATTATAGTTTATACAAATTAATTGATATAGAGCAGCAGTCCCCAACCTTTGTGGCTTGGTGGCCCGGCTTGTTGGGGGGGAGAGAGGAACTGGGCCACATGAGCAGCAGGCCAGCGCACACATCCACACATGCAGCTCGACTTGCGTGACCAGCATGCCGGCATGCATGTGAATGTAGCTCTACTTGTGCAGCGTGCTAGCCTGCCACTTGTGCAATTCAAGCTGCACTTGTGTGTGTGCCGGCCTGCCGCTCACGTGGCCCGGTTGCAAATTGGCTACGGCTCAGAGGTTGGGGACCCCTGATATAGAGAACATTAAATGTAAGATTTAATTCATTCAATCAGCTTTTAACAATCTTTTCTAATATATCCATAGAAACATTTTTTAACAAGAATAATATTCTAAAACAGTAAGAACGTTTGGAAATTATTCAGAACAGAGTTAGCATGGAAGTTACATCAAAGGTACGTACTGTAAGTATATCATTCTGTAAATATCAAATATTTTCTGCTCTTACTGGGTGGAACATTAGGGAAGCATGCAGTAGAAATATAATACAGTTCTTTTCTTAGTGGAAAGTTATGTGTCATTTGTTAAGTTATATGCTATATAAAAAATAATGAGTTTCTGAAATACACAATGCATGCAGAAAAAACTGTCGATTGAATTTATCCTTTTTTTGAGAATTCCAGTAGTCCAACATAGTGGAATATTTTTATCAAAATTATTTAGAACTACCCTAGATAGACTATATTTGCTACTGTGGAAAATTGCAATAGATATTTTTTTGCAGTTCCAGCCTAGGGTTGAAGTGGCTAATAAATCTGCGCAGAGAAGTTGGCAAAATCACTCCAAAAGCAGTAAGCCACAGAAAAGAACAGTTCTCTTCATCCCTGAGCGAGTAAGCTGCCAAGAATAATCTAATTCCAGCACTGCTTCATAAGAAACCCTGCCATTTGATATGCTTAACAAGCTGAAAACAAGATGGAGCCCTTCAGTTCAAGCAGCTGGGGATGAATGTTGATTGACCTCATACTTGTCTCCATTACACTTTTAACATATGCAAGTCAAGCAGGACAACTTAAATATGACTTATAAGCTAATCATGGACCTAACATCCCCTTCTAAGGAAGACCAATGTGATGTCTTGCCCCAATGAAACTGCTAAGTCTGCATAACATCTGTGTCACATATTCAAACTCTCATCCCTATGTTCTAGAGTTTAAAGAATCCCTAACCAATTTTCAAGGCATAGTTAATAGCTAGTATATACCTGCCTATTTCAGTTCTTAATTTCCAGGAACCCTCAAAGCAACCATTTCTGAAATAATAAGAAAGACAAATCTCTTACACAAGTGCTGAAAGTTTCTGGCGCGGCATTGGGAAGCAGAGATGTAATGAGAAGAACTCATTCCTTGTTTTCAGAAATAGAACTGCCTGCTCCAACACAGCCTATGCAAATTCCACACACAATAAACAAGACAAAGACTCATTTGTTGGCCCTCTTCTCACAAATAATCAACTTTCATTAATGTCAGAGCAGAACTCAGATCAACCAACTTGGTGCTTTACATTAAGGAGTAGTAGAGAGTAGACCCCATCCTTGAAGAGCTTACCATTTCAATTGTCCAATTTATTCAGGGAGAATCTAGTATTAAGCTCCCAAAGTTTAAGACGAGATTTATTAATACTTAACCCAAGATTTATATGTATTCCACTGGTTTTATCTTCTCTTTTAAAATCTTCTTTCATGACTTCCTCATTTGATATCTAGTTTATGAAGCCAAATCTTATAAGAGGTTTTCCTTTAAAAATATTCCCTTCTGATTTCTAATTTTTCTTGATGCATAAAATTGAGCTGTAAATTTTCTCCTCTTTCCTTTACGTCTAATATGTCTTCATCCTAATTAATCTTCAGAGTATGTTTTGTTGTTTGAAAACGTCAATCATATATAATAAGCTGTATTGTGGAGTATTGCTGTCTGCTTTTATACTCACGTTCCCATTCCTGTTTTATGGTGAACAGTCTCACAGTATGAGCAGCCCCTAACTCTTTACTGAATTCTGTGCTAAACATTACTAGGCTTTGTAATTTTGAAAGGTCATTTTATCAGCAACACTCCCTCGCACAAAAATATGCTTGGTTATTAATGACACTAATGAAAGTCTGAACTCTTTTCAAACAATTCAGTCACACACTATCCAAAGGTAAGGAAGAATGTGAGCTGCCCATTCCCATTTGCATACTAAAAAGAAAGAAATGGGAAACCGGAGAAAGATAGACAACTGTATATCTGCTTTCATAGACATATTTGACTAAAGAATTAGTAAGCTAAAGATTTGCTCAAGTTATCAAGAAGAGAATGGCCCCATGGATATGAGATCCTATCAAATAGAAAAAGGAAACCAAGTTCAAGGACAAATGAACAAAAGCCAGATTGGATTGGCTTCATATCTAAATGTCTAATAATTTATGGAGCAAGCTATAACCAATTATTTTCCTTAACACAGGATAATGCTAAGGAGCAGGCAAACTTTGTTCTGATTTTATGGAGCATTTTCCATTGGTGCTTTCAAAGGGAGGCTAAGTATCAGATGACATCAGCCATTCCCATTACCTTACAATTTATAATTTTATACAAGTGTTAGAAGTAAAGTCTTCATCCTGGTTCATCCAAGCCGGGAATAAATAAGCAAACATGGCGATTGCTTTGGGAAGAAGGTTACAGTTTATTGCAGAAAGATGGTTCTTCAGGGGAGGAGGAGAGGAGAAAAGAACAGAGAGCGAGATTGAGCACATGGGCAGTAGGTTTTATACCCCCCCTAGCCTTTTGTTTGGAATAGTTTCCTGTTCCTGTGGCATGAACCTTGAGGCTGTTTCTGAGTGTTTGTCTAGACCTTGATATCTGTGGTTTAATTCTATTATCATATCCTGCTTCCCAGGTGATGGGGCTGACTCCTAGAGTTTGGGTGGGGTATGCAGATCTTCTCCTTTGTCTTCTTGATTGCTCTGGCTTCAACTTTCTGATGGTTTTACATTTACATTTGTATGGGCCTAGCTCTTGCTTGGGGCAGAGAGATAGATTTGGGGCCAGGTTTGGTTTTAAAAAGTCCTTTTGAGGAAAAATATATTTTTCTGCCCTTTTTAATATTTCTTCTCTGGGCTAACTTTCATCACAAGCTAAATATAATTTTACTTCATAGAACTGTTTAAAATGTATTTAGCACACTTTTGAAAGAATGCAAAATGTGTTTTGAAAAGTAGCCCACAAAGACTTGTAATGTACTCTATAGCAGGGGTTCCCAACTTCTAGTCTGTGGACCAGTACCGGGCCGTGGCATGTCAGCAACTGCCCGCACAAACAAGCAAAGCCCCATCTGCAGGATGAAGGCAGCACACAAAACCACGCACCCTCCAGTCCATGGAAAAACCTTTCTCCACGGAACCAGTCCCTGGTGCCCAAATGGTTGGGGACCTCTGCTCTATAGGCTGGTTTAACTGCCTGGTCCCAGAGCCTGGGAGAGTATCCAGGTCTTTAATGCCTTACTAAGGTTTAGGGCCATCCTGATCTCTGGCAGGATGCTGTTCCATATGGAAAACTGGGAGAGAGAAGACACAATTCACAGGACCCAGAAGATGACATTTCCTAACAGAAGAGACCTGGACTATGCCAACCCTGCCAGTTCTGATAAGCTGAGCAGAAACGATAGGTGACAGATGATCCTGCAAGTATCGTGACCCAATGCCATGTAAGTATTTATAGATGATAGCCAATACCACCTTGAAATGCACCAAGAATATCACTGGGAGCCAGTGCAGCCCCCCAAACAGACATGTCATATGTATTTATCACAAAGTGTCCAAAAATGCCTATACTGCTGTATTCTGGATCAGTTGCAGCTTCCAAATACTCTTCAAGGGCAATCCTAAAGTATAGTAATCCATCTGGAAAGCAACTGAAGCATGAATTATCATAAATGTAGTCTTACAGCTTGTACTTGTATTTACTTGTGAGAGGAACTTGTACTTTACTTGTACTTGCGAGAGGGACCTCGGAGTCCTAGTAGACAATCACCTAAATATGAGCCAGCAGTGTGCTGCAGCTGCCAAAAAGGCCAACCCAGTGCTAGGCTGCATTAACAGAGGGATAGAATCAAGATCAGTGAAGTATTAATACCACTCTACAATGCCTTGGTAAGGCCACACTTGGAATACTGTATCCAGTTTTGGTCACCACAATGTAAAAAAGATGTTGAGACTCTAGAAAGAGTACAGAGAAGAGCAACAAAGATGATTAGGGGACTGGAGGCTAAAACATATAAGGAACGGTTGCTAGAATTGGGTATGTCTAGTTTAACGAAGAGAAGGACAAGGGGGGACATGATAGCAGTATTCCAATATCTCAGGGGCTGCCATAAAGAAGAGGGAATTAAGCTATTTTTCCAAAGCACCTGAAGGCAGGACAAGAAGCAACGGGTGGAAACTAATCAAGGAGAGAAGCAACCTAGAACTAAGGAGAAACTTCCTGACAGTGAGAACAATTAATCAGTGGAACAGCCTGCCTCCAGAAGCAGTAAATGCTCCAACACTGGAAGTTTTTAAGAAGAGACTGGACAGCCATTTGTCCGAAATGGTGTAGGGTTTCCTGCCTGAGCAGGGGGTTGGACTAGATGACCTCCAAGGTCCCTTCCAACTTTACTATTAGTATTATTATTCTTTGCAAGGAGAGAGAAAATGCCACTTTTATGCTGGAATAGCTGAAGATGACTATAAGCTGCCTCCACAATAAAGCGATAGTGTCACAGGGGGAAATGAGCACTACACTTCTAATGCTTCTGGATTGAAAGGATTAGCCAGCTATAAACTGTTGCCCAGAGACACCCAAATATGTTAACAGCACTCATTCTCTACATAAGATCTACCACCCAGCTGGCATTGCCCTGCCTGCTCTTCTGCCTGCTGTTCGCAGAGAAGAAGCAGCATACAGAGAAAGACTCAAATTGCCAATATCTCTAGACTCTCTATGCCCTACAACCAACTCAGCAGAGACTAAAATCCAGGAAAAGCTTCCTTAGGTCGATGGAAGACTTAGAAGAATTTGAAAGCAGAATGATCTACGGAAAGCTACAAAGAACCAACACTGGATGGAATCAACAGAGAAACTGGCACCTGGATCTGATGAAAGCTGGGAAGTATGGAAAGTATTGAATAGACAGCACATGGGTACAACAAGATCCAGAGACACTCTGAACAAATGCGGCTATCCTGTGGCTTCTGTTTTTATTGTGGTGACATGCAGACAACACATCCTTGCCCTTTGTGTCCCGATCAGTGTACAGTTGAGGACCTCATGGCAGCGTGAAAGAATGCAATTAATGTTGCCAGTTTCTTGACAAGATCTGTTTAATTTGTACATATTTTAATCTTGTATTTTATATTTTATGTCATATAGTATCCTTATTTTAATTGTGATGCTTCTGACATGAATAAACAACAAACTATAAGGTGATAATAAAATCAAGATAGTCACAAGAATATGTCTTTTAAAAAATGGCTATGACACTAGGGCGTTTTTAGGCCATGGTTAATGAAATACAAAAATGAGTCTTATAACTAAATATAGACCAACCCATACCTTTATTTTTGCTTTATTATTTTAATTGAGAGGTTTTCAAGCTGCTCAAATAAAACTATCATCTAAATATGTTTCTTGTAACAGCACTATTTTGACATTTTAGTCCAATTTCATCATTATACCTACATTTTGTATTTAGTCTGCTAGAACTATAATTCTATCTGATCTTGAACCCCCTCAGAATCTTTCTCTCCAAATCCCCAATCTAGTGGTCACCCAAGATTATTTCAAACTCATGGTCCCTAGCTATTTTCCTCTTTGGGTACCAAAATAGTTTTCTCCACTTATGTCCTATTAATATATGATTATTATACTCAAGCACTATATTGGCTGAGATTAAAGTTTATGTATCATATTTTGTGGGCAACTGGCTAGGAAGGGTGATCAAGACAATGGAAGGAAATACTTCCATCTTCTTCCCTGCCCTCTTTGATGCAGCAAATTTGTGTATTAAAAAATGATGGACCTACTCTCAGGGAAGCAGCATAGTTATAAAACAGCTATATATGTTAGTATTATAATTCAACTGCCACACAGGAAGTTGTTTTATAAGAAATTGCATTGGCAAATCATCTAATCCCATTTTCTTGAGAAAAACTAGCTAACGTTACACATCTTATCAATCCATGGTTAACCAAATGACAATTTACCAATTTATCTGTGTGCTGAATTTCCATAACACAAGTAAACTAACACATCATCTTGGTTCAAACAGTATAATAGGGTAACATGTGCTGTAGTGGAGTGTGCAACCACAGCTAATCTAGTTTATGGAGAGGGGGGAATAAAATCATATAGTATTCTAATGAAATAGGAGTGTAATTATTTAACATACTGGGTGGGCTCATGACACACACTGAGCCATAAGCTAGTCATATGCATTTTAGCCTATAGTACTACTGGTACAGCCACAGATATTGACTAGCAGTAGTTCTCTGTTTAAAGTTTATTCTTAGCTGAAGACCCCAGGGATCACACCTAGCGCTTCTTTCACACAACTTATCTAGTTTATTTCTGAAATATAGTGACGTGTGGAAGGGACTAAGTAGAAAATATACTGCTGCTTTAATTCACCACTAAAACAACCACGGAGGCCATGTCTATTCGTCCATTCGAAACTCGACTCACAACATCTTTTCTACCGTACTCCTACATCAAACGCTACCAAACCGCTTTCTTTATGCATTTCAGTGCCCCCAGCCCTTTCCAGGAGGCCGCGTTATCTCCGATGGGCGCGCTTTGTCTTACCTATACGTTTGCCCAGCTGCACCTTTTCTCCCAGTCAGTTCCGTCGCCATTTCATATCTGCCGCTTTGCTTTCCCATAGGCCATTCAATCGCAAAAGTCAATTGGCTATTACCAGAGCAGCCTGTTTCCCCCACCTTTTCTTCATGCAGCCATTGGTTTGTTCGAACGTGGCAACAGCTTAATGATTTCTCGCGGACCAATAGGAAAACCGATAAGAAAGGAGAAGCAAGGAACTGTATTGCGCTAAGTTACTTGGGATTTGTAGTTTTGAGGCGACGTCTATAGTCCCTATGGTCAGAATCGATAGAAGTGGCTGTTGCATTTTTAATAAGAGGTGGACATCTGCGATGAAAGGACTCACGTGCAAGCCTTATATGCTGCATTTAGGTCACTAGAAATATTTGGGATATAGGAGCACCCTATCCCCAAAGTTAAGATTATAGGACTTGGATTGCCCACAAACCATTACAAAAGTTATGGAGCAATGTCCAGTTGAAATTAAGGATTGCGCCATCCCTTTTAACATTTCAGAAGTTACTTAAGACTAAATAAATAAACTTAATTGATTTTCTGGGCTTTTGTTATTTTACTTACATAATTTTGTCTACTGGTTAGTATATATTTTACTGTATGAAATTACTGATTTCATAACTTTTATCATAAACCATGAATTTTATCATTCACCTGCAATGAGTCTTTATAGATTTGGCAGTGCAAACAGAATGAATAAATAATTCATGCAAAGAAATTGACAATTTTATATAGAATGGAAATGAAGTAACAACAACATAAATCAACTGGCTGGCTGGTTAATTCAGTGCTTTAAATTTAAAATAGCACAGATTGTATTTCAATCTGCAGAACATACTACATAAAGAATGAAAGACCTGCAGATCCAGCTGAAAGTTTAAAACAATGTAAACAATGTGGCAGAAAAATTATGCAGATTAGATTTTAATATACCATATTGAACTTTATTTTGACAAAGTGTACAATGCAAAAATTATGACATTGTAGGAAAATGAACTGTGAAAATTAGAAGTATGGCTTCTGTTTTAATAAAAACATGAGTTTTATAGTATAGTGTTTGAATAATTAGAAATGTAACCTTTTTAGAAATTATAAAGGGACAAGAAAAATTGAAAGGTGAAAATGAAAACGTAGAAAAATTAAATATGTACAGTTTAATACTTCTCTATCAAATGCATTGTTAATTTATAAAATGTATTATTTATTATTGGTTGTTGTATTAAAGTATAGTTAGTATATAAAATTGAAAAGTATATTTTGTTTAAGCAATTATAAACTAATAATGTATTTAATAAAATGTTTTAATTTTTTTAAATGGAATTACAAACTGTTGAACCCCAAGGATGTAACTTACCTGCTTTGGAGGTATGTGGACAAAAAACAAAAAGAAATCAACTCTGTAGTAAAACAAAGAAAACTATATATTCTAGATTTTTCCACCAATATCTCAAAAATACCTACAGAAAGCAGTACTTTTCAGAATAAAGCAGAACATGTTTGGCGTTGATTTGCCCAGCTTGTCATTATTTGGAATTCTATCACTTAGCAGCTTCTATTTTGATTTTGATAATTTTCAGGGACTCTGTAAACTGAAGCTTTGAGTACCATATTTGCCTTTTACAAAATTATTTCTAGACCATTTTCCACATCTTAAACATTTCACATTATTGAAAAATAATATATTAGGAAAATTTCATAAGTTTTAATTTTTTAGAGAAAAAATGAAAATATTTTGAGAAAAAATATGGGTTATGTTTCCAGTTCTTTAGTGAGGCCAGAAGTAATTCTCAATGAGAAGTAAATTTTAAACTGGGCAGCAATTTAGTACCATGTTCACATTATTTCACTTTGCATCTTTTTTTAAAACAGCTTAAGAAAACCATTGAACATTCCATTTTAGAATAATTTTTAATTGACAGTACAAGAAATCATTTTGAGAAATCAAACTTCCATGAGCATGTTGGCCTGCTTAGCAGATGGTAATTTCATACTTATAATTGTTTTGAGGTTTTGGTATGTTAATTAATGACTAGCATTTCTGGCTTTTGGGGGGAGGGGTATCTTAAATTTGCCAGAATAGATTTGTTAAATTCCTGTACTTCGATTTTTCAGATAACATTTTTTCTGCTGCAAAAATTAACACTGGAGTTAGGTAACGAATATAAATAAATGCAGTACATTTCTACATATCTCCCTCCCTCTAACTATACTGATAGCTCAATTAATTTTCCTAATATATACTTTAAGAATCCATAAAGACCACACAATCCTAGTCTGTAAAAGAAATCTTTCAGGTGTCAAATTGCTTCCTGAATGTAGCACTTTGATTTTCAGAAACAGGAATGATAAAACTGGACTCCAGAGCATGATTAATTACTGGCTTAATTTAAGCTTCTGGCCATAAGACCTAGTCCCCTTGTAGATCAGGGGTGTGGATTCTGGCTGGCTTATCAGATGCCCCTATGGATTGAAATGACAAAGTGAAGATAATGGTAAAACAGAAAATAATACTGATAGCTATAGACTCTCTGCAAATGTAACAATTGACATTTGGATGTACAAACCCAACATATTTGGAATATCTTTTATACGGTGGTGGGATTCAGCTGGCTTGCACCGCTTCGGCAGAACCGGTAGCTAATTTTTTGCTGCCCAGGTCCAAAATAGATTTCCAGAAGCAGCATCCACAGAGAACTGATTGTTCATTTGTTTGAATCCCACCATTGCTTTTATAGTATAGTGTAGTATTGCAGAGCTTTTAATGTCCTTCCCTCAACAATCTAAAGAAAGACAGAAAATTGCCCCAAACAGTGCATTGGACTAATTGTTAACAGAATGGTCCATACGCACTTAGTAAGGGTTATGCTACTTTATTTAATTTTATTTATTTATGCAATAATTGCAGGCCACCCTGGTCACTTAAGACTCTGGATCAGTGGTTCTCAACCTTTTTAATGCTGCGACCCCCAACAGGTCATATGTCGAGAACTACTCAACCGGTCGTAAGTCGAGGACTACTCAACTGGTGCAGCACCGTTTGCAGAATGGGACTTTTGGCAGGCTCAGCAGGGCAGAGACAGCCTGGACAATTCCTATTGGCTTTTGAAAGTCGATAGAATTAGATTCTATTCAAGAGAGTCTATTCTATTGTCTTTCAAAAGCCAATAGAATAAAAGGGAGTAGCACAGCTAAGGAAAAGGGGGAAAAAAATGCCGGACTGCATTGTTTGGCGACCCCCGTGAAATGGTCGTTTGACCCCAAATGGGGTCCCGACCCACAGGTTGAGAACCACTGATCTGGATTGTGAATTACAAAGCAAAATATGAATACTACCAAATCAAAACAGTACAATACTGTACATGACGAACATCCACAGCAATCAGTTTGAGGTAAACACATTGAAACAGTATGACTGTAACTACATTAGGTGTAAAGTGGAAGGGGACTGTCCAGAGTTGTTTGTGTTGTCTATTGCAAGCATGAACTGAAGTATTGTTCAGTAATTATAATAAATTGAACCTGAGTATTTTAACATACCTGTCAGCCAAGTTCACATACTATTTAAGGTGACTTCTATCTACAGAATTCTATCTATACTAAATATATTTCTAAAACAGAATGAAGAACCTGTGGTCTTCTATGTGTTCATTTATTCAGTTGTGGCATTATAATGCCTAACAAGCTTAACAAGCATGACTAATAGTGAGGGATCTTAAGAGTTGTAGTAGCAATATGTGGACGCTACTAATTACCCATTTTTGCCCCAAGCAATTGAAATACATCCAAAAAGGATGTATATTAACTGCCACTTATTAAACCAGATGCCCTGCAGAGACATTTCTTTGGAAAGATGACGAAGAAAAGGTACAATACATTCACCAAAATCTTATTAGAAAGGGTCAGATAGTACAAAGTTCGCAAAGCCTTGTAGAACATAAAGTCTACAAACCAGCTGAAAAGAATGTCCCCTTCCTTAGTCAACCTATTACTTCTGAACTTTCTTTTAAACTTCCCTAAAACTAGTCGCAGTGAAGATGGCTTAGAAGTTCGGATAAGATCAGGAACGGCACAAGCTTGGAGTGTCTAGTTTTTATAAGCACATAAGCAGATCTAGCAAATACCTTACATGAGGGATGGGATAGATAATGCTTAGAAGTTTTAATTAGTTTTATTCATATGCAGGATTCACATTTATCAAATAACTTCCTCTATAGGGAAATGGAAAACTTCTAGGCACTATTCCAGCAAGTTTTTGCTTTAAACAAAATTGGAAGCAGCTTCTGTTTGGAGTATAGTCAGATTCAATTAAGAAAATAAAAAGCTTGATTGCTTCCAAGCTTAATTAAGAAAAACACAAGCAGATGGATAAACGTGCAGATTTTACTCTTATGGGGGAAGGCAAAGTGCTGCCGACCAAAACTTACGATAATTCAAAATTACAAAATATATACCCTTGGATTCTAACTTAATTTTTGCTTGCTTGCTTCCTTGAAAACAACTGAAGATATAAAGAATATAATCTACATAACATTTTTATGAACTGAACATTTATTATGCTAATTTCTTAGAACAGCGACGCAGTCTATATATTTCAGTCACCCCTTAATGTTTCATCGACTTTTCCAAAGCTTCTTTGTTCCATAAATGGGAATAATTACCTAGTCAAAAGTCTAAAGAGGCCAGTGCAACTTTTTGAAGATGTGGATGGTCTGCAGAGTTCCATTCCTGTTCTTGTTTGGATGATGGCATCAATACCAGCAGTGATACTCATCAGCAATCCATGACTCATTCTACATTATTCCAAAAATCTGTAATTCCTGAATGTCAAAATATTGTAGTTTTATCATTTTTAAATAAGTTCTGCCTCTCAAAAAATCTTTTCAATGTTTGTGATCTCAGTAGAAAAACATTTATTCTGTATATATAGATCTTAGTATCAAGGAATTAGAGGAAAAGAAAAAATAATTTCCAGTCATTATTAGGTCCTTTTTACTTTATTTTCTCTGAAAACAGGCAACCTCTTTGTTATTCCACCTTTCAGTGGCCTCCTCCCTGTGAAG